ATCTATATCCAAATTGTTATATACTTTCTGAGAGCCTGATTACAAAAAAGGTCTCATCATTAAAAGCCACATCCTGGTGGCCGATATATCGTGCATCCCTAAATTCCATTTATGGATAAATATACATATAAACCGCTGTGTGGTGCAGCTCATATTTATCACGCAATAAAAATGCCCCTCCCCGCGCCCAAAACGGGTTGACTGTGGATGAGTATCCAAAACAAGGACTGGTGGGTGGTTGTCCTGCTCCACTTCACAGTTGCCGAGTGAAAGGAGAGTTTTATAATGACAGGACACGCATTTATACAACACTATATTCAAAAGAAAGAACCGCTCCTTCCGCGCGTCATATGTCATTACGCTATTTCTGCGTCATTGCACATGCACAGTCCTTTCAGTTTCGGGGTTCAATCCGATCGAGTGTTTACATGCACTCTCAATCATATTAAACAAGGAATAACCACCCCCTTCAATCCGATTGAGCCGTCAATCCGATTACAAATGGATTATTTGGTTGCATGTAAACGTAGCCTGTGTTAAGGATTTTTTGTACTCGCCCTGCCAAAATGTTCACTCACCCCCGCAACATAAAATAATTGAAAAAATTTAATTAAATTAATAAAAAATTAAATAAAATAAAAATTCACGTTTTGACCCTTGTAACCTTATATTCGAATAAATAAGGTTGTTTTACCAACAGGCCTTAATTTAAGGTTGTTGGTTAATCAGGCACTCCTAATTGTCAAGCCCTGCTAAAGGTGGAGGAGAAACCAAGAGGGAGGAGAAATAATAATTTCTTACAATTAACACATGGACAACAAGGGAGAATGGAAAGGGAGAATCTGCTTTTACTGACAACAGAAAGTGTGTATATATTAAAGTCTGCACTCCATCTAACTAAACGACTTGCCTAGAATTATTCAATATAGCACAGATGCTCAGTATTGTTTTGTATTCGCTTTCATAAAGTAACACATAATCTAAGTCCAGTTTAGCACTCTGGATCACATGTGAGCTGAACAGGTCTGTTAAACCTTCTGACTTCAGACAGAGGAATCAAAAGAATCACATCAGGCCAGGTCAGAAAATGCAAAAAGGGCCAAATGGATCAACTTAAACATGCACCTCTAGTCTCTTTCCTCTGCTGACAGGATGTAAAACTATTTCACACTCTAAACCACATTCCCTCTCTTCAATCATTTCCTCCTTTCAAGAAGGGCATGAAAAAGGTGTGGAAGTCTAAAGGCCTTGGGTTTGATGTTTATCTATCTTTCAATTAATATTTTTAAGTCGAAATTGAAAATATGGAGTGCGCTGTTCGCTGTAAGTCACTGTGTAATTCTTGTATACATAATTCCAGACTTAGTGTCAATGTGCCCCTTGGTCAAATATAGGCTAACTCACCAATAAAGATGAGATTCTTGGCAGTACTGAAATATATAATGCTAAGTGAAATACCACATGAAGCATGCTGGGATTTTAAAGGTCTGAGTTTAGGTCTGGCTGCTGTAGCACTTTGAAGGATCTCCCTTCCTCATTCCAGTCGGACTGACCCGTGGCACCAGGCCTGAAAGCAAAAGCAGCTGGCTGCCCCGGTACAACACTCTAAAGCAGCTACACATTACTGCTGCAATACTCAAGGGCAGGGGTTTCTTTTGATTCCAAGGAGGACCCATTGCAAAGGAACCCCATTCTTAAAACATAAAAGAAGCTATATATTTTCATATATAAAAGACCCATTTATACTATGTGAGAAATGTGTGATATTAAAAAACAGTGTTTCCAAAAGTATAAAAATATTATCTTGCAAATTATAAAAAAAGTACCTTTTTTCTACACACTTTTTTTCTACACAGTTAGATGTTTAAAATCCTGGCCTGAGACAGCAAAGCTGAATTTTCAGCAGCCATTCCTCCAGTCAATCATTTGTAATAGGCTGATATGGTGCTCTTTTTATTATCATTGCTGAAAACATTTTTGTGGAAAGTATAAATATTTGTTTTAAATACACAGTTAGAATATAATTTATTTGAAATAGAAATCTCTTGTGACATTATAAATGTGTTTATTGTCATTTTAATACATCCTTGCTTAATAAAAGTATTAATTTCTTTAAAAAAAGTCTCCAAACTTTTTAACAGTAGTGTGTATTTTGTACATTGTTTTATCTCTTACATTTTTTTTACATTTCTACAGCAATTCTCCAGAGAAATTGAACAATACTGTTAAATTAAGATAGTCTACACAGCATTCTATACATTACTGCAGCAATTCTCCACAGTAATTAAACACCACCGTGGCCATGCTATAGAGGCGTGGGAATCGGCAGGATTACACAACAGCACTTTACACCAGAGACACTGAAAGATTCATCTAATAAACATTTGATGTTGCCAAGGGACACGAGAACTGCAAAGGCCAACATTCTAGAAGGCACTGAATCAACAGGGGGGATACCTAAGCAGACCGTAGTGTGTCCCGTATCCTAGCAGCATGCTTTTGAAATACTGCCCAAGGTGTTGGCTGGGGCCTGACTGGACGCTGCTCCTGCAGTATATGTCTGGCAGAGCTGTTGTGCTCAGCTTATCTGGCTACAGATAAATAATACCACCGGACACTCTCCGGATATCAATGATCTAATAACATATGCACACACATACACAACACTGGGGAAGTTAATGATTGAAATACCACAACTCATATTTCAGCCTGAGGAATCAGAGCTGATGGCCATGCCAAATCTCCTAAATGAACCTACTCCATCCACTTAACTTTTCAACTTTCATACACACTACAATCATATTATCCATATGGGATCAGAACCAGTGGAGGCATTATGCTATATGTTTAAACTTCTAAAATTATTTTGTATTCACATTTCTCCATTCATTTGACTGCTGACTCACGTCTCCTTTCATTCCTCCCATGAACACATTTTCCGTCTGCCCTACATTTCAGAACAAATGCTTGTGGTTTTTCGACATAAAAAGTGGAGAAATTGAGTTTTTACTCAAGCTTAGAGAGCTGTTTCCACTTGAGACCAAATGTGGTAAATTTTCCATCAGAACAATGGCACACTGAAACAGACAAACCACAAAGCAGAGATCACGTTGCCGTCACACACACACACGCAAGTAGCTGAGGCACTAATGTCTCCCTGACACAAATGCCTTTGAGCTTCTTGTCAGTAAGTGAATAATGCTCTTTCATCAGCGCCAGCGCCGCTCTGACTCCGCATTGGTCCACACATCACCATGCAGACAACAGTCTGTGCATCCAAAACACACACACAGGGGGAGAGAAGGAATGCTTTCTGGTCTTAAAACCCGATTAAGAAATATTGTTTTTACACAGAAAGGCATTTAGTTCACAGCACAGTAGTGCCCTTAGCAACCCCCATTAGTGCATACCATACCATTACCTGAAACATTCACATCTGAAACACCTCAGGGGTGTGTGTTTGTCAAACCCGAGAGTAAAACACTCAATTAGACATGCCTCCAGGGCCCAGAAACAATCCTGCCGCACCTGAACTCCTCAGACTTGAGCTGGGGAATATGACTTATGTTTCCCGTGTGGAGAACTGAATGTGTTGCCAATCACCATGACTGCAGAACTAAACTCTTTTTGGAAATCTACAAGAAACACTAAAGTCCAACACGCCTAAGGCAACATTGTTAAAGAAAACTTGAGAAATTGCTGGGTACTTGCCCCCTAATACAGCATAATCCACAACCTGGCCTTAACCTCTGAGCAACATTCCACTGTGAACACACTTTGCAGCAAGGATGCAACCAAATATTCAAGAGACTGGGACCAAATGTAACATTTTAAAGTTGTGATGAAAAGGAAGTAGCCACAGATATTTTCTTTGGAACTGTGATGTACATCCGAATTGAACGGACTATTAAAAAATTTTAAATGTAGGCGTTCTTTCCATCGGTTGTTGATTGGATGGAGCAAACCTAAATGCAAGCTTGCAGTCGATTATACAAAAAGGGTGGGTTTATGTGGACAAAATGATTGGAGCAATCTGGCATAAGTCACCAGAGAAAAGTCTGTTCTTTCTCTGGAAGAATGAGTTATGACATTTTGATTCACACAGGTGAATTATTCACAGTAAGATTGATGACATGCATTTAGAAAATATATATATATATTTTTTTTTTTTAAAGACATCCACAGATCCACAGCAGCTATAAAAGGCATCCACAGAAGGATTCATTTTTTCCCCAAACATTAAAAGACGTGAACATAAAACCAATGAGGTAAAAGCACCTCATGACCCACATTACATTATGTGCTGTTGTCTAGAACAATAAGTTTATTAAATTACTGCACAAATTTTACTAAAAATATATTAAATAACTGGCAAGGGTTCACATCTCCAGTAAAAAGAATGTCTTAGTTTATGCTGACTACAACCATACCAGAATATTCCAATAGCTGAAAGACCTGTAAATCTATTTTATTGCCATTTATTTACCATTTTTTTAGTAATTGAAAAAAATATGGACCTTAAGCATGTACATGTAAACATGATAAATGTTGATGACTATGCTTTAAATGTAGGGACAACCAAGTGTGTATGTAAAATACAAAGAAACAGAACTGCCTATTGTATCTAGTTAATTGTAAATAATAACATATGTATGTTTAACATCTCACTACATCTAATTTGAGTTACATCCTATCTGCTGAAATATGGGAAGGAGACTTCAGGCTTCAATGCAGCAAATCTCATACAAGTCATCGTGCATGATTCCTAAACCGAGAGAAGAGAAAATAAACAAAATGGAAAAGTATAGTTGCAAATTGCCAGCCTCTCCCAACACGCAGGGATGCCCAGGGGAATGGATAAATCATCGCCGTTAGATACGTCACGGGCCAACTCAGCATTCCAGAAGACGGTGCTCGCGCTCGCTCATACACGCACACACACAAGCTGGGCTGGAAATGAATAGCGGCACGCGCGAGACATGCAAGCAGTGACAACTCACCATTTCTTTGTACATTCCACCATGAGTTCCTGGTAGGAGGCGACAAACTGGAATTTGGAAGCATGTTTCCCAACACGCTGCAGTCTCTTCCACACCGAAGCCATGTTTTTTTTCCTCTTTAAAGAGCTGACAGTTTGTTTAAAATACTGTCGTGTTCTGATACCACGCCCTCACAAAACCTTTCCTTGAAAAAGTTCTCAAAAGTATCTTTCCAAAATCGGCTTTTGTGCATTCATTGATGTTTAAGGGGTTTAAAATCAGGCAGAAGAAAGGAAAAAACACGCAGATCCCTTGTCATCAAAACATTAGTGTAGATGATCGCAGATCTGCATGATGGCATGACATGTTAAATCCACCGGGGTGATTGACAGCTCTCACAGAGCTCATTCCGTACAGCAAATCCCTCAAAATAAACGTAAGCAGTGCATGGTAATCCAATATTCCTCATTTCCATGTGTCAATAAACCTACAGAGACAAAGAGGGAGGCAGTTAGACTATGGTGATAAAGGTTGTTGCACCAAAAAATATCTATTAACTCATTTATCTTTGATTTTCAGATTTCTGCATTAAATATCTGTCAGTTTCAAACTCATTTAACCAAACCCATCCTTAATTGAAGCACTGATTCATACCAGTAACAGAAAATTCCCTATCAGTTATCTGTGAAAGGCAATGGAAAGTGATAGTATCAGGAAACAGAGATTTGGCTGACTTTGTTTATCTGTGCAACCAAATTTCATAGTCAGCCAGATTAGATCTTGTAGACCAGTTACAAATACTCTGAAGACTTGGAAACATTTGATACTGTATATCAAAAGTTATTGGTGCATTTTATTTTGCGCATGGTAGAAGGCACTCTTTCTATATGCATAATCAACATATTCCAATTATGTCACTCACAATGCTTCATGGGATTGTAGTTCTTTCCCTTATTAAAGCATTTAAGTACACAGTTTTGAACCTTTTTATGTTGTCATTCACCTCGTAGGCTGCTGGATTTGTTCCTGCTTTGTAACTTTTTAATGAAACTACTTTTTTGAACGCAATGGGGAAAATTATTGTGAGAACCAAGGAAAAGTGGGCATTTTAGAGAAAGGATGACACGTAATTTTGCCTAATAACAATCTTTTAATAACAACTGTAATTTGCATTATGTGTTTTTAATTTAAAAAAATAAAAAAAGCTAAAAAGAGAATGCAGTCAGGTATTACATTAAGAATGCAGTCAGGGATAAGCAGGACATTACCCTTCATTATATTGACAGTTGTGCCAATATTTAGTACAGCAGCACTTTCTCTCTTGTGTTAATCAGTAAATATCAAGCAGACTGACAATCAGTTTCCAGTCTTTCTTTTTTTCCATTCTGTCAGGCTTTTTACATAGCTGACGTTAAAAGTTGTCCTGGACTGGCTAACATAACTCATCCATTTATTTTAATAATGCTCGCAACTGTTGCTGTTCAAACATTCACGAGATGATAGTTTTATTTTATATTCATGCAGGCTTCTTAAAACAACTCATATCCTCATGCACACACTACAAGCTGATGAACTGTCAGTGCTGTCAAACTGACTAACTTACAGAGACTTAAGATAGATGTTCTCAGGTTACTAGTTAAAGATCCTCTTTAAAGTCACAGTGTTTTTTATAAATACCTAGCTTTAGAGATCATTACAACAATCGATAATGAAACTCCTGCAATTACATAGACCATTTCACAGACATTATTCATAAACATTCTGGTCGCATTCCTGCACTCACCGCGTGAATAATGCTGCAGCAGTAGCGGCTGAATGCGCCCGATGCGGCGGGAGGCGCGTGGCTGCATTCAGCCCGCTAGCGAGCTAAAGAGCCGCTCTGGCAGGATATTCCCATAGAGCTCCGCTAGCAGCCTAGGCTAACCTTAGCCAGGCAGGCTATCCTAGGGAAAAGAGCGGCAGCGAAACAGAAATTCCTTGGATACTCAGATGTATAACGGCAACAACCAAACAGAGGAGCTTGAAGCCGAGAAGCAGTGGTGGTTTTCCCAGTCGAAAGGAGGAAATTCCAGCGCTGTTTTCGTATTCACATACAAACTCAACGAGTCAAGACTCCATCATTTTCCTCACCTATCCCACATTCAGTCAAACGTCTGTGCTGAGTCTCCGAGAAACGCCCCCACGCGTCTCTCATTGGCTGGGGGCCGTAAATATTTACATATTCATGACATTTCTTAACGCTTTTGTTGCCAGTGAACGCTCCTATTGGTCGATAGAGACATCTTTCAGAGATCTTTAACCCGCCTGTGTGAGCAAGCACACTGAGTTGAGTAGGAACATAAGTAATGTAAACCTTCTTCTATGTGTTAAGGTATAAAGTGTATTAAATATGAGTGTTGTGAAAATTGCAAATGTCTGGTAGGCTGAGGCAATTCAGTTATCTGGAGTGAATCTGTGAATAATTAAAAATGCTAGAACAAAACAAAAACTGTTGAGATATTTTAAAACAATATATTTGTAATTAAATGTAATGTAATATTTATTTTATTTTATTTGAAGTAAAACAATCAGGTCAGTAATGTGCTTTGGAAAAAAAAAACTGGAAAAATGAAGTGAGAGAAACATGGAGAAAGTTTGTGCAAGAGACAGTCTGATTCCACTGCCAAATGGCAAACAGGTCATTACAGAACATTTTTTTCTGTCTGAAGAGTCTGAAGAGAAACACACAGGCCATTTTATAACCAGATTAGAACGTTAAGGTTTTTTAATTAAAATTTTAAATGGAAGTTCTGTGTTTTTGCCTTCATTATATTCTTTGAATTTATTTGTTCATCAGAAGCTTTTTGATGCCTGCACATCAGTCCTTAATATTACAGAGAGACACACCACGTGTCAAAAAATGCTTTGAAGCAGCCAGAATTCTTGGAAAGACAAATATGTCTGTGAGTATGTGGAGGGAGGGGCTCACACAGATTTCTTCTGCCGGTTCTCCAGCATCTCGATCCTTATCTTTTGAGTGCATGAGACGGGTTTCCTCCCTGACGAACGGGTGTGTGCGTGTGTATCGGAAGATGTGAAGATGTGGGCACACAGGGTAGAGGAGGTTGTGATCTCTACTCAAAAGCAGTCACAGTGTCTACAGAGTTGTAACATCGTGACTGCAGTGTCACAGTGCCAAAAGCTTTTAGAAAGACAGCCAATCAGACACCTTTGCCATGTGTCAGACAGAGATTCAAGAAGTCTATATATCAGATTCTGCATTTACGGGCTGCCAACACTTCAGGAGTTGTGTTAGGCAACAATAAACCTCTCAGGCTTCTGCTCTGAAAGCTCAGGAGCTGCCAACACCATCTTGTAACAAATAAACCATCTTGTAACAGCTCCTCTGTGATGTAGGAAACCTGATCAGTATTTTTCTTTGATAAAACAGGCATTTTTTTAAAACATAGCCAGTGATTTTGCAATACAAAACCAATACTAAAAAATAATTATATTCCCATAATTCAATCAATGAAATCTTCACAAAGCCAGATTTGGCGTGGCGTGAGTCTGCAATTTGTCTGTGCATTGAATTTACTTTCTCTCTCTTCCTGTGTGTGACCCAGCAGTAATGTGAGTGTGTTCACTGGCAGCGAGATACTGTAATTGAATCACTCCCTCATGCTCTGGCACGGACACATGGGCACAGCCGTGGGTGAAGACAAAGAAAGGAGAGAACAGTGATGTCACACACAATGGAAGCTTTGGAGCCTCAGTCTGCAGAGAGAGACAATGACATCACAGAAGAAACTATAGAAAGTTAATACTCCTCATCATGGCTAATTAAATGCTGTATAGAGTTTCTTCTGAACCCTTTGTGCATCATTATGAGGAAATCAGTGTTCAACAATGAGATTCAGAGTCCTTAATGAAATATTTAATAAGTGCGAAATAAGTGTGTTTGGTCAACATCTGTTGATCAGGTCGGTATTACAGAACTCTGTTCATTTGTGTGTGTGTGTGTGTGTGTGTGTATACTAAAATTGAATCTCTGTGTTGAAGGCAGAGAAGTTGTTGGATAGAAGATTCTGTAAATAACTCCAGCTGAATGTCCTCTTCAAATAAACACAAGGAAGCACAGAGAGCAACCTCAACATACAAATTATAGTTTATTCAACAATATTTACAGAAGACTATACTCATACAATACTTTGAAAAATCATAAACATTAACAAAGATGTGAACTATGTAAGTATAAAATTGATGCTAAATATTGTGATATTTTACTTTCCGGAGAATCTCTTAATAGTGATTATGCATGCAAGTCCATGCCATCATAAGCAAACATCTAAAACATAAAGTAGTAGTAGTAGTAATAAAGTAGTAATAAATGTAATAAAATAATATTTTGTTTTTATTTGTCATTTTAATATTTGATCTGAAACACAAGTTAGCCATAGATTGATCTGAACAGGCCTTAATACTGGCTAAAGATTAATTTGATTTGAAATGTTTTGCTGTCTGTAAGTATGACACCACCTCATGCTATTCTGCACTTCAGATCACACAGTGGCCTCTTGAGACCGACAAAGGGTTTCCAGCGCTTCCCAGGGGTTAGCAAGTCCTGAAAGGGTCGACCCATCACCACACCTCTGAGATTTCACACTGTGGGGTCACCTCTGGAGGGGGACATACAAACATGTGTGTTAGTTCTTGGTGCAGATTACAGTCGAATGTGCTTGGGATTCCTTGTAGATCATCTGATTCAGTATATTTCACTCTTGTGCTCTAGCACTGGATAATGGAGAACAGATGGGAGTTGTTCATTTGAAGCAGACATGGCAGCTTTATCTTTTCTGTGCTCTCTGATGAGAAAGCAACCCACAATACTAAGCTGCATGAGTGCATGACTTAACAAAATCTAAATTACTACAAATTTAATGTAATCATATTCCAGATTAGTTGTGACTACCAATTTTAGCAATAAAGACAATGGTTTCTGGAAAAGAAGTCAAGATCTGGCTTATAGATACATTTAGTTTTATAAACCAAAATGCAAAATGAAGTTTTTTTAATCAAGAGCGACTGAGACAAATGATGGCTCACAGAAAATGAAAATGCTGTTCCAACCTTGCATGATTTCTTTTTTTTTCTTCTTCTTCTTCTTCTTCTGTGGAATGCAAAAGGAGATATTTTGAAAAATGTACTGACCAGCATTTTCCATATAATAGAAGTAAATGAGGATCTGGGCAGTCAAGCTCCAAAGTGGTTTGTACCATTTGTACAAATAATTTATCGTATAAAATCTTAACCATTTCATAAAGTCATAATTATCTCAATCTTAATCATTTAAAATCTTGCATTCCACTGCATGCATGCATTAAAATATTATGAATTTATGCAACACGTCAAGTTTGACAATAACGTGATGTGACAAATCACATTCACAACACAAGAAGTCTGTTTATGGAGAAATGCAAATGAGATATGAGAGCTGCAGCATAGCAGGCATAATGAGGAGGGTGATGAAAAAGGACAGAATGCTCATTTTTGAGTGATCTATCTCCTTAAAATGACCATAAACTGACCTGAGAGACAACAACAACAAATGCGTACTGAGCAAAAATTTGTATTGCATTAAAAAAAAACAATTACACCATCCATCACACACATAGTGTGTATACACATACACACAGCTGATGCTGAGTCAGACTCTGCTCTGTGGGTGAAATCATAAATATCACATTCTAATTGAGTTAGCATGATTTCTGGAATGTGCAACATACACTAACCAGAAAAAAATGTGCAGAAACAACAAATTCTGAAATGACCTGGCAACATGCCTGCAATAAAACGTCTTTATGGGTCGAATGGCATCATTCATGCCTTATAAAACATGTATGGAGTCAATGCATGACCCATATAAAACAACCTTCATCTACAGGGTACCTTGTAATTGTTATGCTGTCTGTCTGATATCACATTTATCTTCCGCAGTGGTGCATTAAATCTGTGGACAGTGTATCAGGATGGGGGAGCAAGCTGTTATCCGCCACGAGCAACTCACACACACACACACACACACACACGCACATGCACATATGTTCCAATACTTGTTGACAGCCACACAATGAGCTATGGTGATTTTCTCTGCCCACAATGCAAAAGTGCAGGAGAATGGAATTCTGGGGAGAAAATATGAAGAGGAGTGAACAGAGAGTGTGATGTACTGTAGCGTTTATAATGAAAGTTTTTACTCTGGAGTGCAGGGATGTTGGCAGGATTTGGCTCTAGTATGGGATGGGCTTATAGGCAAAATTAAAATTATTAGCGAGAATAAAAAAGTTTTTCCTCTCTCTTTTGCAAGAGCTCAGCACATTCTCAGGGATATTTCACATCTTAAGAAAGTGTGCATTTGTGATTGGATGGGCCAGTGCTAGTTGGCCCACCTAAGTACCAGTGTACTGAAAAACTTAAATAAGATTAAAAAGTAAAAAAGTGTTAGAATGCGATAAATAAAAATGAAGCAACAAAGAAAAAGAGAAAACAAGGATTTTTTTACTCATTTCTAGGCAGCTGACTTTAAGACAGCATGTGATATGAGAGGAAAACCAAAGGGGGGATGGCAAAATTATCTTTCTGCTGATACTGTGTGTAGTTAGGCTCTCATTGCACGCAGGTGAAATAATAAAGGCATTTGTGGAGCTGCTGGAGCGCCGAGGGGAGAACTTTGGAGTTAGTTAGTTTATGGGGATAAAATGAACTCCCTACAGCAGGAGAAACTCAGTGTCAGCTTATTCAATCATATCGGTATCATGTGTGAACTGGGACAAGCATCTGACACAGATTCTGAAGGGTATTTATGCACTTGTGAAAGAATGTGTGTGTGTGAGGAACTCAGCTTTAAAGTATGAAGAACATGTAAATGGGGAGAAAGCAGCTACATGTCCACCCACACATTCATTCTCTCTCATGAAGAAAACTCACTGCCTGAAGCAAATCCACAGAAACTGAAAAACCTTTCATCAATCTCTTTTTCTTACACACTTCCTGCTTTGCAATTTGGGTTTCAATGCTAAATCCAAGTTCCAACTGCTAAATCAATTCGTAATTACATTGGCTGCATTAAAACTGAACCACATATTGATTTCAAACATAAGCATCAGGAT